CTAGCAATCTACTGCGCCAAGAACGGTCAGAATGCCAGAGAGAGATAATCAATCCCCCAAGAGCGTGAGCTCTGGGGTCTCCAGCCGAAACAAGGTTTGGGGCAGATTGGGGTAAGTAAGGCGCGGGGCAGATTGGGGAGGTTCCGGCCTCAAGGCAGGTTCCGGGGGGTTCCGGTGCCAGTTTCGGGGCAGGTTCCAGGTCCCCACACCCGAAAATCGTACTGCAGATGCTTTCCTGGAAAACGCATGTAGGCAATGTAGGCTACGCTTTGACCTTCTTTTCAACAAATCTGCAGCTCAATGCCGTCCCTAAACCGGAAAGTTTGTACTGCAAACAAATACTTTAGTTTAATTTCCACGGCGCCCAAACTGCTTGGAAACGCATTTCGAGCTGGCTCCCGAACTCCAGGCCAAGCCCAATTGCAGTTTCGAAGGCATGCTAAACACATGCTTGGTTTCAACAAATCCGGAGCTCAATCCAATACAATGCCTTCCCTAAACCCGAAAATCGTACTGCAAAGATGCTTTCGTTTGGTTTCCAGTGCCCCAAAATGCATTTTCACGGCTTGCAAAACGCATGTATTGCTGTTTCAGTTTTTGCTGGTGTTCCTTGCCCAGCTGTCACTAGGCATGGGACACTGGAAAATGATGTTTGCCCGTGCAGGCACCCCGATCCTCAACATGAGATCTGCAGGACTTCAGATTGCTCGGAGTTCCAGGTAAGCTCCTGGTCGGAGGCCTAGAGATGCTGACTTTGCAAGGTTTGGATGCTGGCGAGTTATGGCAGACACTGGGATAAATAAGTTCGCTTTCCCCTTAAGTTCGTGAAGAGACATCGCAGCTCGTCCGCTACTGCGTGTATTTGCCGGTCTCTCAGATCAAGCTGAAGCCTTGGAGCAGGAAAATGCATCACTTTCAATACTTGTGATCCTTGTTGTTCGAAAAATCCGGCTTGGATGACAAGATTGATGTTAGGTGAAGGCACTCTTCTGAGCATGTAGCATGAATCAGGAAGCCAGCACTCGCATCCTTAGGAGTTCGTGGAACCAACAAGGTCTGGGGATGGGGACTTGTCTGAGTCAAGAAGTTCAATTGTCTCTGACGCCGCGTGGTGACGAGAAGCTGCTTTCACAAATCCGCAATGCCAGCGACCTGAGCCTTTGAAGGCCAACGGAGCAGCTGGAGCATGACTTCGGACTGAGGAAGCGCAGGTGTGGAGGCCGGGCTTGATGGTTGCTTTCGGGAGATGAGGTGGCCCCATCCCGTGGATGAAGTCCATCGCCCAGCAGCTGACACAGATGGGGGTGCAGAAGCGAGGCCGGAGAGCTCGGTTGCATCGCGTGCAGGTCAGC